TCCGAATGGTCCCTTACCGCATCCGAAATGCTTCCCAACTCCTTGGCTTGATTTTTTGTCACCCTTTTCGGCATTTTCGGTATGGAACCGGGAGACAGCAATTTTTAAACGATTGTAATTACGTACGCAAATGAAAAGAAAAATACGACTTTACGAAAATTCTATGATTTATTGCAAAGCGTTATAACTCAGCTTTATATTTTCCAAAGTTGACTGTTGGCTAATAATTACAATAAGTTGAGCGCGTTAAAAAATTGGTGCTGTCTCCTCGGCTGCTTGATAAAAAAGGCAGAATAGCAAGTTAAATTTTGCCTAGCTGCTTAAAATAAAATACATTAGGGGTATTCTCTGAGTCTTGCAAAGCCCTTGCACGGTGCACAGATTGCACGGAATGCACGGTAAAAACCGGTTTTCGTATGGGACAGCTTTGCAAACCGTGCAATCCGTGCACCTTACAAGGGCTTTGCAAGACTCAGAGAATACCCCTATTATATATTTGCAAAGTGAGATTGGTATGCATTCGGTAGTATATAGCTAATTGCAGAAATTTCAATACCTAACAGTAATTTCAATAACAAGCGCAAGCGAGAATAGCAGCACCAATACGCAAATACATACTCTTGAGTGACTTAAAGATGTTTAGTTAAACATAAATTGATGCTACAGAGATGCATTTTTGTGTGCTTAGTGGATATGAATACAAATTAGGTGATACTGATGTCGTGACAACTGTGATCCAGTGTTATCGAAGATATTGCTTCTATTGAAGCTGATTTCGACATTTTGTTTTATCGAAAATATTCTTTTAAAAGTTGCCTGGGAGTGGGAAGCAGATAGCACACCTTGTGATATGTTATAATAGTTCGTTCAAGACATTGTTAACACTTTTTCAAAACTTACAAATGCAAATTCAAAAAGATCAAAACAAAAAGAAAATAAAAAAATTTCCCGCTGGAATTTTCAGAGCTATATATTTTTAGTATTCATCACAAAATTGTACTAAAAAGATTTGCGTAGTAGTACAGAATAAACAGTATACAGAAGACGCATTTCGACTATCGAACTAATTTGAATTTAAGGCACGAGCGGTGAGGCAAGCAAGGGTTTCACAAGCGGCGCTGCCTCTGTTACTGTAGCAGTATTTTCACTCGGCTGACGCTGTTAATTCCATCGTCGCTATGACGACCAGATGTTAACTAACTTCGTTTTCCATCACGATCGCGATGCCGTTTTGATACAATTGTATAATTTTTAATATTTTTTTTCTAAATTGTAATATCTGGTACTTTTCTGTTCCCAAATGCCGTATTTTGATACTTTCGGCTGGCAGAAATGAATTTCTGAAAACTATGAATAGTATTACTAGTCTAAAGCTAATATTTTTTTCTTGTTATTTAAAGTCTCTCAATTTATATATAGATATTTATAAGGTTGATTTGGTAACTCTAATAAAGGAAACACAATAATTTGTGCAGCGGATGGCGACAACTGCGAAATTTTTTGTCTAGTTTTGATTTTGGTGTCCAGATCGTGCTGTAAAAAATGGATAAAAGCGTAGAAAAAATTTATTTGTTTTTAATTTTTTTTTTTACGTTTTAAAGCTGAAGCTATCAAAATATGCAACGCACATTCATATTTCTTGCACATATTTACTTGAGCAACGTTTCTTCAAAATAAGGGTTGCGCAATTTTACGCTGTAGTAATTTCCACAATATTGACTTGTATAAGTCTCGGGTTGCGCAAGGATTTTATGTGGTTTAGGGGCCCTATAAGTTTATTTTTCGCGCTGGTCGTTTTTTTATAAAAACGCTGATATTCTCAATTTTTTTTATTTTCTTGAAATGTTAAAATGCAGCAAAAAATTTGTTTTTTTATATATAATTACTCTGGTATTATTGGGGAACATTTCCTTAATTACATACCTGTCTTGGGCAGTTAGAATGGGCCTAGTGCCCGAAAATATGCTCTCGAAAAGAGAGTTGTAAAATTAAAACGTTGATACTGAACGATTTACGCATTATCATGGGTTGGAACTTGTTTCCAGGCGTTTTCTGGGATCTGAAGTCAGTTTTTCGAAATTCAAAATAAGGATCCAAAATGGCGGTCCATTTTTATTTTAATGATTGGATTGGTTTGAAACTCGGCACTCGAGAGTTTTTGGGGTCGCCGATNTTTTCTTCAAAATAAGGGTTGCGCAATTTTACGCTGTAGTAATTTCCACAATATTGACTTGTATAAGTCTCGGGTTGCGCAAGGATTTTATGTGGTTTAGGGGCCCTATAAGTTTATTTTTCGCGCTGGNCGCTGTAGTAATTTCCACAATATTGACTTGTATAAGTCTCGGGTTGCCCAAGGATTTTATGTGGTTTAGGGGCCCTATAAGTTTATTTTTCGCGCTGGTCGTTTTTTTATAAAAACGCTGATATTCTCAATTTTTTTTATTTTCTTGAAATGTTAAAATGCAGCAAAAAATTTGTTTTTTTATATATAATTACTCTGGTATTATTGGGGAACATTTCCTTAATTACATACCTGTCTTGGGCAGTTAGAATGGGCCTAGTGCCCGAAAATATGCTCTCGAAAAGAGAGTTGTAAAATTAAAACGTTGATACTGAACGATTTACGCATTATCATGGGTTGGAACTTGTTTCCAGGCGTTTTCTGGGATCTGAAGTCAGTTTTTCGAAATTCAAAATAAGGATCCAAAATGGCGGTCCATTTTTATTTTAATGATTGGATTGGTTTGAAACTCGGCACTCGAGAGTTTTTGGGGTCGCCGATTACGAATCTGAAGTCAATTTTTTTAAATTCAAAATGACGGATCCAATATGGCGATGAAATTACAAAAAAAGTACTAAAATTAAAACGTTGATACTGAACGTTTTAAACATTGTCAAGGGTTAAAACACGTTTCCAGTGGGTTTCTGGGGTTGCTGATTACGAATCTGATGTCAGATTTTCAAAATTCAAAATGGCGGTTAAGAGTTTCAAACAAATCCAATCATTATTTTAAAGTTGGTCGCCATTTTGGATCCACCATTTTGAATTATGAAAATCTGACATCAGATTCTAAATCTATTTTTATGTTATTATTTGTAAACATTTATTTTGTTCGGCGAATAAAAAAAGCCCAAGAAATGGTCAAGAAAAATTTATTGATCCAAATTTTCTTAAGCAGTACGAAGTTCTTAAGAAATTTTCTACGCTTTCTGCTGGTTTGCTAAAGTTTGTTTGTGAAGAGTACAAGACATCCTTGTTTTCAACAGAAATATAAGCCCGTTCCATTATTTCGTAAGGAAGAAGTTAGACAGCAGGCTGTAGAATATCAGATGTCAAAACTCCTGAACACTACTATTCACACACACGAAATATTGCATAGCAATTTATTTCTTGACCATTTACTTTAGCTTTATACATTGAAATAAGCAAAATAAGCCTGATCGTTAAAATTAGGCTTGGAAACCCTGAATAAGGAAAATAAGCAATTCCATGCAAAAGCTTAAACCTTTCGGCCCTGGCAAAATATTATCTGAGAACTTTAATATTTTCTTTAAAAAATGCTTTCTTCACTTCAACTAAAAACAGTTTCTATCGCGTAAACATTTTGGCCTTATACCATCTTTTACAACTTCGATAAAGTTCGCTCTTACTACGAGAACAAAAAATCGGCGTGTTTAAGTTTGACTTGAAGAATATAATTTCGAACCTCATTAATTTTGCAGAAAAAGGTTATAATTTGAATTTTTATGTAGATATATATTTCTTTCCAAGCAGCCAGCCCAAAATCCCTAATTGCANGCTGGTTTGCTAAAGTTTGTTTGTGAAGAGTACAAGACATCCTTGTTTTCAANTGTATGCACACATTTCCAGGTACACTTCATTAACCAAAAACAATTCAAGCCATTATTAATGGAATTAGTAATATTAATATTAGGCAATATTCTTAGCTATAGTGCTTATCAAATCTTTACGACACCCACATATCGAAAATATTTGACCATTTATCTTAATGTTATTCAATTTTAATTTTTTGTTTATAAGAGTACAGTTTATACTTTAACAAAAACCGTATAAATCAAAGGTCTAATCTTTGTTCAACATTAAAAACACAACAAATTTCCGTAAAACTTTCCAGCTTTTTATTTAAATCTTTTTGTAATATTTTGAGATTGAGTTTTGAAGCCCATTGTATAGGCTTCATAGTTTCTGAGAAATTAATAAATTACTTCAGATTTTTTTTCGGTATAAAAATTAACAAATTCAAACTTGAACATGGAAAAAATAAGATCCTGTGTGAATTTTTTTCATTTGGGTTAAGGCCTATTCTGTTACAAAAAGCTACTTACATATATACAAAATAGATGGATATCGAAATAAAGAAGGAATGAGTGGTCAAATGAAAATGCACAAAGATCTTTTGCATGAAAAATGAGCAGAAAAGAATGCGCCATGTACACCTGAGTAACACTCTTCTACTCATATTTCATACAAAAGCTCCTTGCGCATATTCATTGCACCACNGAAGTTAGACAGCAGGCTGTAGAATATCAGATGTCAAAACTCCTGAACACTACTATTCACACACACGAAATATTGCATAGCAATTTATTTCTTGACCATTTACTTTAGCTTTATACATTGAAATAAGCAAAATAAGCCTGATCGTTAAAATTAGGCTTGGAAACCCTGAATAAGGAAAATAAGCAATTTCATGCAAAAGCTTAAACTTTTCGGCCCTGGCAAAATATTATCTGAGAACTTTAATATTTTCTTTAAAAAATGCTTTCTTCACTTCAACTAAAAACAGTTTCTATCGCGTAAACATTTTGGCCTTATACCATCTTTTACAACTTCGATAAAGTTCGCTCTTACTACGAGAACAAAAAATCGGCGTGTTTAAGTTAAGTTTAAGTAATTAATTTTGCAGAAAAAGGTTATAATTTGAATTTTTATGTAGATATATATTTCTTTCCAAGCAGCCAGCCCAAAATCCCTAATTGCAGCGCTGTGGTTGTTTAGTTGATATAATTGCCATCTTTATATAAGTTTTGATGACATAAATTAAGAAATGTCTTTAAAAAAATAGTTTCTACCGTGCAAAATTATAACTCGTTGGGTAAGATTTTTCAATACTCATAATAATTACCGCTGCTACTGGAACTAAAATCTCCACAAACAGACCCGCCAGTGCATGTTTGATGTCCTTATCTTTAACTTCGAGAAAATACTGACCACATTCATGCATAAATTGAAAGGAAGCCTCAAACTCTTCAATTGGCACCATCTACACACAGAAAAAGAAAGGAAAACAATATTTATTAACCGACATTTATTAACGGCTTTAAGCAATAATTACCTTGACGCGAAAAAATTTCATGCCCATCAGCAGGCTAATAATGCTCTGTGTTGTCGTGTTAGAAACTTCCTTAGCCCGCAACTCCTTCAGCTCGCTCATAAAACGTTTACGCACTGACGAGAAACGACTCTGTGCCAAAACTCCGATGACCTCCGCATACAAATCGGATATCATATGAATATTGTGAGCGTTGGGATTATTTTGTAAACCTTCCCTATACTTGAAATGTTTAAAAGCTAAATTCTCTATATTGCGAATGAGATCCTCGTGTCCCGGATGGAAGGGCAATTGTTTGAGTATTTCAATTAGAGCTAAGCAAAATATGAATTCTACAGCAGCTTCTCGGCGTTGTAACTGAAACTCCAGATCGGTAGCGGGTTTGGGCACAGCGTTCTTCTCCATGCGCTTGAGATCGTTTTTGATTTCGCCATCGGAGAGTTGTCGGCGGTGCCAGGCTAATAAAGTATGCAGCAGCGATGGCAGACAGTGCTCAGCTACTGAGCCAAGTGCCGACAGCAGTTGGTCGAACTGTTGGTCCTCACCACGTTGCAACAGTTTCGACAAATGCTTATCAGCGCTTTCCAGCATAACTAATTCAATCTTCTTCTCCGCCTGCACTGTAAAATCACTAAATAAGTTCCGCATGACAATCTCACCTGGCCGCGGTGGCGTCGATACTTCATTGCCGCACGAAGTTTGCGACCCGCTCTGTGACAACGGCATATCGAGAGCTTGTGTATATGGTATTACATTAACGATCGATGTACGCGAATGGGTACCCCAAGGGAGGAGCGCTTGTCGTGGTGGTATAACCATCGGCACAGAACTCCCAAGTGCCGCGTTTGTAGTCGCCGTTGCTGCCGCTGAAGGCGTCGAAGTTACAATTGTATCTGTTTGGGCTGCGCGACCAGTGCCGTTGTTATCGTTGCCAGCATTACTTACGCTCGTGCTACTACTAGTACTACTGCTATCGTTGATAGCACTATTATTTGAATTATCTACATAGACAGTATCTGCGGTGCAATGCTGTGACTCATTTATGGTACTACAGTCAATATTAAAGTGTATCGGTGTATTCTCATCATTGATCGGCTGATTACATCCAATTTTTATTGGCGAATTTGCCCCGCCACCTCCCGCACAACCACCACTCGCGCGTGAGGATTTCGGCGTTGATGGATATTCGTTTGAAGAATGTGTGGAATAACGTTGGGTTTGTGAATTGCTATTAGCTCCCCCAACTCCGGTCGAGCTTTGATGTGTCTTAATGTTATTGTTATGGTTTGTCGACTGCTGTTGTTGCTGCTGATAACCATCATCGGAGAGTTTTTGGGACGCGGTTGGACTATCGGTTGGGGAGTTTAGGATGCAGGTAGAATTAGATTGTGCTAACGTGAAAGCAACGTTTTCATTTAAATGCTGATTAGCACCTACAAGAAAAATTACATTGAAATAGAAATAGAAATAAATATTAGAGAATGCATGTATAGCACATATGTATTTATTAAAGCGCATTTTGGTGAATATGTTAAATAACACGGTGCGAAATTAAAAATAAGGCACTGTGCACAAGCGCAAAGGTATATTAACATTTTCGCGTAACGGTTGTTTGAAATATAATAGAAAATACATAGGGCAATTCCATTGTAACTGACATTACATTCAAGACCCAATTTTAAGAGTTAAACGCGCATTTAGCTTTTGATCTAATATTTACAGACAAGGTCAACAGATCTTTATATACAAATAATTGAGGTTTATTTAATATACCTAATTTTCGTATTTAAATTAATTAATTAAAAGAAAAAATTTATGAAATATATTGGTAACACACGTTCCAATTTTGAGGGAGAGTTTTGAGAGCATTTGCCAAATCAAAAAATTCTGCGAAATAGTCATTAGCTAATTTTTAATGATTGGATTATATCAGTAACACGGTGCTTCAAAGAAAAGTCATGAAATACACCCGAAACAAAACCTAGTGTAGGTTGTATATATGGTCGAGTACAACATAAAAATAGGTTCCGTATAGTTCCTGAACCTTCCATTTTTATTTTATTTAAAAACAACCATTATGTTCATACTTGATGTACTAGCTATTAAGAGCTTGACTATTTTTCATCCGATTTTAAAAACAAAACATGTTTCGAAAACATTTATAGACCTTTAAAATGATATATAACAATATATATAAATCGGACAAAACCTACTCCCCCTCCTACCCCACCTCCCCCCCTCCCTCCCTCTAAATATATGTGGGTGGAGCACGTGAGTTTTGCCCGATTAATCCAGGTAATTTTAAATAGTTCACACATATCATCCCCGATGGTAAATAATCATTTGGATTTTAATTTCCATCAAACGTTTTACACACTATGGTTAGCTGTGGTGTTAGCGATTTGAAGCCGCCGGTTGGCAAACGTGGCGAGCCGGTAACGAATTGCAGGAATAATCGTTGGTATTCGCGAGTATACGATGAGAGTATATCGTATAAATGTTGTATAGCTTGGGAATCTTGTGTAAAATCGTAATCGGTGCGGCAACAATCTTGCAGCATTTTAACGTTGATAGTTGCTAGCCCCAGAACCGCAAAACACATTCTCCAACTCTTCGGGATAGAACACTGAGTCAAAACCTTCACGCAATGCCTCAAATTTTTTCTGGACGCCTTCGATGAGGAACCAATATGTCACCAATGAGATATATTGATGTAAATTGTGTATTGTTACTGGCGTATCACGTCCACCTCAACACAGTTCAATGTTAGCATAGCCGGGGGTATTTAACACGGTGCTTAAGGAGGCTAAGCACAATGAGTTTATCAAATTTGGTTGAGATCGGTCAAGTAGTTTTTAAGATACACATAAATGATATAAATAAATAGGCGATGCCACGCCCATTTTCCTAAATTTTTATCAAAAATAAGTTTTTTGCTTAAGGTCCATTATAAATATAAATTTTGAGTAAATATATAAGGCCGTATTTTTGCTTAAACTGCTTAACTGCGACAATTTTTTTGCAATTGTATTAGGTGAGGTATCAATTTATTCGAAAATAAATGTTCTTTTAACGCGATGTAAACATGAATTTTTTTATTTGATTACCGTTTAAACATGTTCGTATTTAAATCAACTGAAAAGTGTTCAAAATTTAATGTTTCCATTATAGATACACTACGTATAATGGAAATATTCCATTGAAATACGCCCGTATTAAAATGAAGCATTTTTCACTGCACGGATGGCGTTTTGCACGTGTCGGATGCTTTTTCATATGTAATTAAGAAAGTATATCATCGTTTAAAGTACAAAACCGCGTATCGTCATTCAATCGCGTATCTGACATTTGCTGCCAAAATTAGATTTGCTCACACTAGCTCTTGGCGCAATCCTTATCCATTCGTCCTGAAATATACTGGCCAGATATGGCGATTGCTTTATAAAAAAATGCGTGTGTAACACCGTACACATGATAGAAGTGAAACTTCTTAAAAAAGGTGTGAGTACCAGGTACCTACTCACGAAATTCGATGTGTAAACATATGTTTACGGTTCGGAAAACCGTTAGGCGATTGAGTTACATACATAGGTTTGGTTAGAAATCAAATAATAATTTCATGTCATCTTATTAATTTTCTGATATACATATAATTTATTTATTCATTTTCCCGTAACACCACCTTATATGAATTCGCGCTTATAACATCCATGGGACCGGGTTGTCATGGAAGTAATTGTGTGTTTAACAAATAAATGAAAATGTTTATAATGCAATCAATAGATCCTTACGAATTCGTCATTACCAAGGCTCTAAGTAACGTACGCACTTTTGTTTGCAAAATGCATTTATTTAAGTTGAAAGAAGACAAATTCCTTTGTTCGGCATTTATTCTTACTCGATTTCTATCTTCTAAGGCGAATTCATATATTCTTATCACGAATTCATATATTCATGTGGTAGCAAGAGTATAAAAACATAAAATTACTTTATAAATTAAAAGCATAAGTATCACATGTATGCGTAGTCCAATTTACGAAATCATTTCATCGTTCTGAGTAAAAACTAAGTGCATAAACTCTATTTGGCGTTAATTGTAATCATGAAATGGTGTTCATTCATTCAGTTTCTACTCAAACGCATGAAATGATTTCATGAATTGGCCTACGCATAATGGTAGTAAATGACAGAATGAATTACAACAAACACATCCTTTTGACATAATGCAAGCCGAAAACGTTGGTTCAAATCAATCCGCAACCAAGTTGGAGGTTTTTCCCACAAACATTGCAATTTTGCGAGCAGTCTCATTGTAAAATCTCATTTTTACAGTTTCATAGTTTCGGCTTACATTTATAAAATTCAACGAAAGCACGTACCTATTTCGGCTGAGTTAACCATTTTCGATTATTTAGTGTACAAAATAAATGCAAATTAAATGAGTTTGTACAACATGGCCATTCATGTAGCGATAAGTTGTACAACTTGCCAGAAAATACAAATTTTTTTATCATTCATACAACCAAGACATAAATTCATTCCCACAACGGTGCAATCTAGAGCAAAGTTGAACCAAGTTTATTTAAGAAACATCGGGCGAAAATTTTAACTGCTCCTGTAACACTACCTTATTTATATAAGTTGGCCTTGTTATCATCTTCACATATGTTCATTAGAGTATACCAACNCGTAACACCACCTTATATGAATTCGCGCTTATAACATCCATGGGACCGGGTTGTCATGGAAGTAATTGTGTGTTTAACAAATAAATGAAAATGTTTATAATGCAATCAATAGATCCTTACGAATTCGTCATTACCAAGGCTCTAAGTAACGTACGCACTTTTGTTTGCAAAATGCATTTATTTAAGTTGAAAGAAGACAAATTCCTTTGTTCGGCATTTATTCTTACTCGATTTCTATCTTCTAAGGCGAATTCATATATTCTTATCACGAATTCATATATTCATGTGGTAGCAAGAGTATAAAAACATAAAATTACTTTATAAATTAAAAGCATAAGTATCACATGTATGCGTAGTCCAATTTACGAAATCATTTCATCGTTCTGAGTAAAAACTAAGTGCATAAACTCTATTTGGCGTTAATTGTAATCATGAAATGGTGTTCATTCATTCAGTTTCTACTCAAACGCATGAAATGATTTCATGAATTGGCCTACGCATAATGGTAGTAAATGACAGAATGAATTACAACAAACACATCCTTTTGACATAATGCAAGCCGAAAACGTTGGTTCAAATCAATCCGCAACCAAGTTGGAGGTTTTTCCCACAAACATTGCAATTTTGCGAGCAGTCTCATTGTAAAATCTCATTTTTACAGTTTCATAGTTTCGGCTTACATTTATAAAATTCAACGAAAGCACGTACCTATTTCGGCTGAGTTAACCATTTTCGATTATTTAGTGTACAAAATAAATGCAAATTAAATGAGTTTGTACAACATGGCCATTCATGTAGCGATAAGTTGTACAACTTGCCAGAAAATACAAATTTTTTTATCATTCATACAACCAAGACATAAATTCATTCCCACAACGGTGCAATCTAGAGCAAAGTTGAACCAAGTTTATTTAAGAAACATCGGGCGAAAATTTTAACTGCTCCTGTAACACTACCTTATTTATATAAGTTGGCCTTGTTATCATCTTCACATATGTTCATTAGAGTATACCAACAAAGGACGAGTTAATACAAGGAGATAGCGGACACAAAACTACAAGTTGAACCAAGTTTCTTTAAGAAACATCGGGCGAAAATTTTAACTGCTCCTGTAACACTACCTTATTTATATAAGTTGGCCTTGTTATCATCTTCACATATGTTCATTAGAGTATACCAACAAAGGACGAGTTAATACAAGGAGATAGCGGACACAAAACTACAAGTTGAACCAAGTTTCTTTAAGAAACATCGGGCGAAAATTTTAACTGCTCCTGTAACACTACCTTATTTATATAAGTTGGCCTTGTTATCATCTTCACATATGTTCATTAGAGTATACCAACAAAGGACGAGTTAATACAAGGAGATAGCGGACACAAAACTACAAGTTGAACCAAGTTTCTTTAAGAAACATCGGGCGAAAATTTTAACTGCTCCTGTAACACTACCTTATTTATATAAGTTGGCCTTGTTATCATCTTCACATATGTTCATTAGAGTATACCAACGAAGGACGAGTTAATACAAGGAGATAGCGGACACAAAACTACTCTTGAAAATTACACGCACAATGACAAGCATGAACAAATGTACAACAAACACATAATTTTTGACAATCAGTACAGTTCGCATTTACATCAACGAGCAGCTTATTAGATTTGTTTTCGTTTGTACTACATATGTGCATATATACATGTACACAAACATATGTACATACCACGGAGGAGAGAATACAGAAGGTGGCGCCAATGGCAACACCGCTAATCGGCTCTCAGTGAATTTGACAGAATCAGCTGTTTTGCTGACGTTACAGTCGAGATGACAGCA